GTTCTTAATGCAGAGGAAACACAACAATGAGTGTAGGATCTAGTTTGTGGTCTCACATGCACAATGAGAGATTTGTTAGTAAAAATAAAATGTAATTCTGCCTATTGAAAGTAATGAAGTTTCACAAATGTAATTTACAGTAGAGTCTGAATAAAAGGGGATTGTACAGGCATTACTTTCTATGATTCTATGATACTGGATGTAGGATCTTGAAATTAGGCTATTGTACTGATAGACAAGTTGGAGAGAATAGAGTTTAAATATTCTAGGGAGATATTGCAGGGATAGAAATTAGAAGACTTCTAGTTACACATAAACAGCAGATTAGATTGGTTATAATATTATAAGGAATTGATGTAATAGCACTTAGGAAAACAGAGAGGTTGCAAGGTGAGTCAGAATGAGAGAGACTAAAGTGTAAAATCCGAGTGCAATCCACCTTGAAGCAATGACATGCTGGAGTTGAACCTTTGTCAAGATAATGACAGTCAAATCCTAAAATTCCACTAGCCAGGGAGGAAAGGCTGGACAATTTCCCTACCTCTGATGGCAATCCCCTCTGGGTAAAATCAACTCTTGTCATTTTCTTGACAAAACAAAAAAATAGAATAAGTATTGTGCCTTTAGGGTACACAAGATCATACCAAATAAGGTTTAGGGGTGTTTATTTTTTCTCCTGAAAAAAATATTCCTTGTAGAGAAAAAAACATCTATTTATCTTTGCCTGTATCTTCAGCTTATATGAACTGGATACTGGGCTATAATTTCAATAATTTCAGTATCCTCTAATTTGTTGAGGGCAAGGGGCATAGGTATATAAGCATTCTTAGTAAAGTGCATCTCAAAGGAATTGGGTTACCCCTTCCTTGGTTAAAGTTGTGGAAAAAGAAGACAATTTTCCAAGATGCACACAGTTCTTGGCCATTTATGCTCACTTCTGAGAGTACTAGCTGGCTTAGCCTGTCACTAAAAGCTGCATGTCCCAAGTCATTCCAGAGGATTCAGGAACAAAAGAGCAGTGGGAAGTGGTACAAGTCACCAGGAAAGATTGTGGATTGAGAAATTCCACATGGGACCAATTTGGATTTGCCCTTAAATTAAGAATAATGGGTGGACTGGGTTCTTTTGATGTTATCTTCTACCTACATACCTTCATTTAATTCAACAGGATTGTCAGGAGAGGCTTCCAGGAAGGGAGAGGTTAATCTCAGCAAACTCTTGAGACACCATGCAAGAACCATTTGCTTTGGTCCTCTGTTGTGAACTCCTGTTGGCTAGGTAGGCAGGTTTCCCAAGGAATGATTTTGGCAAGGGGTTAAGAACATAAGTGCCATACTGGGTCAGCCCACTCATTCATCTATCCCAGTATCCTCTCTTTGATAGTGGCATGGGGTAGGTGCTTTAGCAGGAGTGTATTTGTACATACATGTACAGTATAATCATGATACCCTCCCTAGCATCAACCATCATTGGTCTAGGGATGTCAGAGGATACATCCCATATTATTCTATTTAATAGCTATTAATGAACCTGTTCTCCCTGAATTTGTCTAATCCCTTTTCTGAATCCACATCCCCTTTTATCTCCATTTTACCTCTGTTCTATCATTCTCCAAGCCAGCTTCTAGTCAGGGCCAGCAACTGGTTCTACAAAGTCTCTGATTCCTGTCAGAGTCAGTCTTCCAGCATGTAACCACCCGGGTGTACTTTGTCCATGAACTGTCAATCCTAAACCTATCAGCAATTCAGCTACCTGATCTCAGCCCAGCCAGCTGCCTCCATACAAACTCACTCTCAAATTAATGGTTCTCTGACTTCCATTCTGGCCCTTTTTTATCTGAAATCCTGTCATGCCTTGTATCTTGACTGGGCAGTGCCCAATCCTCAGTTACCTAGTTAACTGTTTCCCTCCTGGCCCCTCATGAGGCCTGTAGACCCATCACAGTCCCCATGAAAGGAGAATGTCCTCAAGAAGAGTGTTAGGATTTAGAGACTGAAAATCTAGACTTTGCCATGTGAAAGTCAGGGGAAAATCTGATTGCCAAGGGTCCCCATCAGCAGTATGGTTAAACTGTAGGTAGCATAGGCATGTGCACAGATATCTTTTGTTTTAAAATCCCCCCTTTTAATGTTATCTTTTGTTCCTGATGTTAACATTGAACGCCATTGTTTTAAAAGGGCATTATTTTTAATTTGTGGTCATAAGCTCACCAATGGAAGACTCTAGACAGTGTACCTAGTCTGTAAGCATAGGGTGGCTACATGCAGTTTTTGGGTAAACCCAAGGCCTGGGGTGCTGACTTACCAAAGGTGAGTCTTTGGGTTCAAGTCTTTGGGTTGATACCTTTTTTTTCCTCTCATGCACTCTTGGAATTAAAAGTGATGGAATTAATTAATCCCCAGTATAAGAGGATGGCAAGATTCAAGGGGGAGATTCCCTTCTGATCAAAAGGAATTCAATCCATTCTTCCCTTTTGAAACCATTGGAACATTGGTTGCAAATGGCAAGACTAAATCAGACAGCAAATTTAGGTGTCATTATTTTGGGGTTGCTGCTCATCAAAAAGATGCTCAGACAGAAAATACCAAGCATATAGTTCAACAGAGCTTTAAATTGCGGTACAGGTGAATTTGTCTCAGCGTATGTTGCATATTTTCATCCAAACCCACAATGTATTCTGACAGAACAACTCACATATTATCTTCAGAACGTTTTTAAAATTAAAGTGGCTGGAAATTCTTTACAGTAATTATCATAGCAATCCTGCTGATGTAAGCAGCTATCTTGAATAAGTAGCAATTCATTTAAATCCTTAACCTTTCACTTTAGTTCATTTTGTGGGGAAAAAACCACCAGAGGGAGAATCTCATATTGTGTCATCTGCAAGAAAACAATATATATATTTGTTGCTTACACCAAGTCAATATTTACTAAAAATTCTGCAGTAACCGCTCATGAAAGCAGCAGTACTCTGTCTTACCACAAGAGTGAGCTGCTGTCCAACATTTGAAAAACTACAGTAGGTTTGCTTTGCTTATTTTCCGTTACTCAAAATGGTGTAGTTTTATTTCACAGTTGTGTCAAACATATTTAAAATATCTGCCCATATTAGATTTTCCACAGAATCAACATAATCAAGCTGTATACAGAGATGTCCATTTTTCTAATTTGACTTGCACGCTTATTAAATTACCTTCTGAACAGCACTGGGGACTGAATTCTCTATCTATTCATGCCAAGTAGAACCTCTGTAGGAGAAAAATATTTCCCCATACTCTTGCCAGTTTGTTTCGTTCCTGATCTAGCAGTAACATGATGGTAATTACGCCTGAGATTCTTCTGGTACCACAGGCTTAAACAAATGCATTAACAATGATAGTTTTATTGGTTTTAATAGTATCTCACAAACATTCCTTGTTGCTTTAACATTAATATTGTTAACACTGGTTGAGTGGTTTTCCCTTAGCAAACATACTTAAAAGGAAACAACGTTTCACAAGAATGCATGATGTATACAGGGGGGATACATTCATGGAAACCTCACCACATACATGGACTATCAGAGGACAGGAAACAGTGTTTTGCATTTAGGGCATAATCCAGTACTAATGGATGGGGTAATTTCTCCTGCTGACTTCAGAGGGAGTTGGATCAGGGTCAGGTTTGCCTTTTTGATTTTCAGTACTCTGTGTGTGTGTCTTTTAAGGCTTGGTTTTCAGCCAGTGGGTTCTCACACTTTTGGAATACTGGTTCTCAGCAGTCTGAGATTCAAGGCACCCCTCAGAAAATGCCAGCTCTTAGTTTTCATTCTTTTTTTCTTTTCTTTTTTGAGTGCAGAAAAATACTAGAATGTTTCTTCTGTTTTAAAAAACTCAGAAGGAAATGTTTCTTCTGTTGCAAAAACTCACCACGGGGCAGAATATTTTAATGCTATGGATTCATACTTGAAAACTCTGGGTTTATCTTGTGCAGTATGTTTGTAACAGTGATAACATTGTGCAGCATCCCACTGCACCCTTGAGAGGCTGGCTCTCAAGGCACTCCAGGGTGCTGCGGTTCCCTGGTTGAGAATCACTGCCCCAAGGCAATATTGCCCCTACACCCTCACTGCATAGTAGAGCTCACAAAGTTAGTTAAATCAAGCAGTCTACTTGTCGAAGCACGGGGTTCCACTTCAGCTAATTTACCACATTGAACATGGAGCTCCATCTGCACTAATTTAAGGAAGACGAATGAGCTTTGTGCTAGTGCAGTACAAGGAGTTATGCCCTGCATAGGGCCCTGTCACAATTGTAGTCTTTCCATTCACCTTGATGCGAGGACTGCTCAGGACTTCCATGGCAGCCATGATGAGAGAAAAGCGGGGAATCAGGGCCATGGCTTTTTCCCTCCATTCCATACTAACAAGCAAGGCAGGCTGACCATGGGAGGGCCATGTGCCAGAGGCCACACTTCCATGTCACTTTATAATTAAAAATGATAAAAACTGGGTCTGCACACAGGAAAATCAACAGTCACCAAACAATTATGAATCAACTGGACTGGACTGAAGCCAGCAATCTAAAGATAAAAAGTTGTGTCCAAGTACCCTGGGCTAACCTGCACCCAGACACTTTCAGGGAATATCATTCTGATTTCTGGTTAAAGTGAGATTCTTGATTTTAGTTAGATGGACACATCAAGTCATGTATGCTCAAGCTCTGAATGTATAATTAAATAAACAACTTGATTCTCTTCCCCCATGCTCAATACCTTTTTTGTATGATAATAAATCAGTGAACAAAATGAAAGCAGGTGAATTGAACATATTTTAAATCAATATTAGAGAATATTCATAAAAAAATTGACCAGAAATACAAATCTCCACAAATTAGTTCTAAACAACCAGTCAAACAAATACCATGCTATCTGTGCATCAAGATTAAAAAAAAAAAAAAAAAAAAAAAAAAAAAAAAAAAATCAACATAGCTAGAATTTTAACTAATACTCATAACAAACAGTTTAAGAAAAATCCCTCAACCTAGAATTTATATGTAGAGGCTGAATTCATATACTTATATGATCCATTCAATAGAGACTGGAAGACTGAAATGAGGGAGGCATGCAAGGGAATCAGTGATGTTGGGCTCGGAAAGAAGACCTGGTACATCTAGTTATGGAAATCCAACTTCATACAAGTTTCATTCACTTGAGGGATGCCTGATGGGAGTCAGGATTATTGTTTGACTTTCTGTGTAAAACTCCCCTTGCATACAAGATAAAATTTCAGGCTTTGTTCAGGGAACTCTGTGAGGCTAGTCAGGGGAATGGAAGCAATACGTTTACCTGCAAGCAGTCCTTTCTGAGCTATTGTTCTGAACTGTGGTGGTAACAGCCTTCTGCAATCAGATGAGAAGGCTTAGTGTTACTGGACTGCTTTAAATCCTGATCATCCTTCTAGCCTGTTTCTAACAGCTAGCTCCCTTTACACTGGCTCTCTGAGCCAATCATAGAACTGGACTCTGTGCCAAAGGTGCAAATTCTCCCTCTACAGTTGGTACCTGCAGCCGTGCCTGCCCTGGCTCCAGGGAAATGGGGCAGCAAAAAATGCACATGTGCATTCATTGCACTGGGCTGGATTCTCTCCATAACTGCCTAACAGTAAAATTGCCTCCTCCATACAGAGCCAAGTAGAGTTCCCATGAACAGAAGCACTTATCACGAGTCATTTCTGAGTGGTATTTGAAAACTAAGCTTAACAATGGCATGTCTAAGCCTTCTGCTGTGGCATGTCTTGCTAGTGGAAGGTTAATTTGTGACACTGCCAATACAGAACGCACACAGCAGAGCTTTGAAATCAGCTTGCAACCTAAAAGTTTAGATATTGATTTAAAACCCAGATAAAGCATGTTAGTAACAAATCCTATCTTTATTGATAGATAATGGTGGAGGCTGCAGCTGGGGACAGAATTTGGCTTTGAGGGGGTTTTAAAGTAAACGTTCTATTTATATATTTTAGGGTTTTTTAATTAGCATTAAAATGTATTCAAACAGGTAGCAGACTGTTCCCCAGGGCTGTCAAACTACCAGCTCAAAAACGTGCATTTTTGAAAGAGAAGCCTTCAAGAAGTGGCCCAGACATGCTAAATGTGTAAGATTCAGTTTTATCTTCCCCATTTATTCCCAGTGAGAACGAATTCTTGCCTGTGGAAACTTCAGACTGCTGGGCTGAATACAGTGGGTGGCACAATAGAATGTATTCAGTAAAAGACAATGCTGTCAATAAAACTGTGCTCCCCAGACCAGGGGTATACAACATGTTCAACCTTGCTGATTTAATTCAATAAGACGACCAGCAAATACAGCTAATGTTCCAATAATGCAAACTAACATGAAGATACCAAGAAGAAGATGATCAATTACCATTGCAACAAACTTCCATTCTTCCATAGCCTGGGATTAAAAGAAAAGAGATAGTTAGAAATTCCTAGAAGCTATGTTTCTTGTGTGCATTTGAGCAATTACTGATTTTTTTCTGGTTTCAAATATTAGTATGGAAAAATACTCATGTTCCTGACAGGAATAGGTTAGTGCTCTGAAACACCTAGCCTATCCAGACTGACTTAATCCTTCATCCTTTCCTTTCACTGAGTCCTGAAAACCAGAGGTCTTATGTGTTCTAGGCCAGTGGTGCCAACCTTTTTACACTCCAGGTTGGATGAGAAATGCCACATCGGTCTGCAAGCTAGATCTGGTTTGTGGGCCTAATCCCAGCACACAGCAATTGCCTGCCTCGATCTAATCCTGGTGTGTGGGACTAGAGCTGATCCAGCCATATGGGGCTTGGTAATTTGGTGGTGGGGGAGCAGTGGCAGTACTAATTGCCGCTGCTGCTCCTCTGCTAAATTTCCAGACCCACAGAGAGCCTTGGGGACTGAATGATATGGCTTTATAGGCTGGATTTGGCCCATGGGCTGGGGATTGAGCACCCCTGTTTTAGGCTGATCATAGTGCTCATTTCATAACATCAGGGATTTGTCCTGATATTTTTGACCAAAATTCTTGAACATTCCCCATTCTCACACTCTACTGTGCAATACAATGTGCTGGCAGCCTCTGGAGCAGAGACAGGCAATTATTTGGACTGGAGGGCCACTTTAAGAGTTTTAGTAAACTGTTGTGGGCCAGGGAGGCAGGGAAGAGGGGTGCTGACTCAGCTCAGCATAGCAGGGGGTGGCGGGAGCAGCAATTGATCCTATCTAGCCCTAGGTCCATCTGCCCTGCACCCGCTGCTGGGGGTGCTGGACAGAGAGGACAGGCAGGTGGGTGGGGTCTCCATGGAAACCAGCTTGGGACCCCGGTGGGCAGGGTGTGCTTGGCTGGGCTGCGGGCAGGTGGGGAGTGGCATCCGGGAGCAGGACGGGCAGGTGGGGCTGGGATTGTGGTGTGGTAACAATGCGGGGGGTAGGGTCTAGAAAAGAGATGTGATCTGCTTCCCACACATCCCTGCCCCAGGTGCTGGTTCTGTGGGCAGGATGTGCCAGGAGTGGATCGCGGCTCGGCCCCAGGGCCCAGCCTCGCACTGTTACTACCCCATGATCCCGGCCTCAGCCTCTGCCTGCCTGTCCCACTCCTAGACGCCGCTCCCCACCTGCCCATGGCCCCATCCCATCCCCCAGTTGTACATGTTCTGCCTGCAGAGGTTTCAGGCTGGTCTCCATGGAGACCCCCATCCACCTGCTCCGCCTGATGCCCACCACAGTAGGTTCAGGGTTGATGGGCCAGGGTGCCCAGGCAGTGGGGCCAGGTCCAGCAGTGATGGCAGAGACACTGGCTGTGGCAGCTGGGCAGGGTGAGCTGCTGCCACAGGGATTGCCAGGAAGCCAAGTCTGGCTGCTGTGTTGCCTCCACTCTGCCACATGCCTGGGGGCAGTGGGACTGGCCATGTGTGCCACAGCCTGGGTGGCTCCCTGTGCCTGGGCTGGGTGGGGCCGAGGGACCCACCACAGGTGAGACAGAACCCCTTGGTGGGCCCACGGGCCATATTTTGCCCACCTCTGTTCTAGAGTGAACATTGTAGGTCATTCATGGTTCCCTTATAAGTAAGGGATTTTTTTTTAGTGAACAATTTATTCACCAGAAATGCATTTTCAAGGGAAATGAAACTATTTGCAGATTCAGGTCAAATAGTTTAGTTTGTTTCTTTTTTTCATTTTGAAAAACTAAAAATGTTTCATTTAAAATGTTTCAAAATGACATTTGAATTTTATTTTAAAAAGGCAATGTCAGTATTTTTAAGTGTTAAAAACATAAAGCCAAAGCATTTATTGGCCCCAACTATGTTTTGGTTTGGTCAGAGACTGAAGAGTTTATTGTTCATATGGCTCCATTTTTTTCACCCAGCAGTAATCTATGGATCTGTTTCTACCTCATCTAAAGGCCCCTTATTTTTATAGGGACCTAAATCCCATCCACAGCTGTGGGAGACAATGATTGCCAATTTATGCTTGCCAGAACTGGGACTATTGCAAGGCCCTTTAGGCCAGGTGCTGTTTAGGCTGCCATTCTGAGTAGCATGTGTTGGGAGTAAAGCAGTAAAAGGCACATGATGTAGCGTACTAAACATTGGACCGAGCATGTCATATTCCTACATTTTGATCCTGCCTTTAATGATGACTCCCTGTGGCCTGGCTCTCTCAACCTTGGTTTTCAGCACAGATACTTAACTTTCTGTGGGAGGGGGGAAAGCAAGATTTTTCAAGGAAAAGCTGTCATACCTATCTCTGTGAGTGTCTGTGCCTTCATTTGGCTAGTGATGTGGAAAACGTAAGTATTCTAAAAAATGCTTATTATGTGCCTCTCTCAAAAGGATTATTTGGAGTATCCAGTACAAAATATAATAGTACGTCATAGTTGGAGTTAACATTTACAGGTCACATTTAAGAACTCTGAGGTGGTAAAAAGTGTTTCTGTTAGCACTTAACTTTGTTTAGGTTTTTTTCCCCCCCACCTTTTTAGTGGTAATGTGCTGGAAGCTGCTAATTACTTTACAAAGATATAGTAAGAAACTCTTCTGGAACGTTAATTTCCTTGACACTGTTTCAAGTCCTCTCAATCACTCCTTCTGTGACTTCAAGTATTACACTTGGAAAAAATTAGCAGTGCTACATAAGCTAGCCACACAATCCTTTGGCCAAGATTCATTCGTAATTTGCAGTTATTATTTATCATTCCTTATTGACTACATCAAGAAAAATAAAACAGGATTCTGAAATAAGGCAGACACTATGTGAAGTGCATTTGAGAGAAATGGAAAGATTTGTTGCCAAAAATTATATCGTTTCAAAAGCAAGAGATGTATTGTACAAAAAAATGGCTTACATTTTTGGATTCTTGGTCTGATTTCATTGTTTCCGCAATGTATTTGATTCCCTCAATAGCACTCTTCACATCTGGGTTTTTGGTGAGTGGGGAGTGGAAGCTGACAGCAGTAGGACCTGGTTTTCCAGAGATTTCGGAAATATCAATGTCTTCTGTAAAAATCCGTTTCTCTTGTTTATCCCTGGACGGCCGTTTCATTGTTGAAAAAAACATAACATTTGGCACTGTATCAATAAAGATCTAAAAAAGATCAGGTTAGAAAGATTGCTTCAGTGTCACATCAGTAAGACAAAGTAAAAATTCCTAACTATCAAATAATCTCCCTTACTGGATTTGATAGAAATTCCTTGTTCAGAAGTATGCCATAACTCATGCCTTATTCACATTTTACTTGTCTTGTAAAAATCAAATGCCCCGGGGCAGACCCATTCATCCATGAATTTGTTGCACATTTTTTCTGGAAACAATTTTCTGCTGCCAAATAAAATATATACCCATATTTCAGTGAAGTGTAATATGACAGACAAGATACTCAATTAGCATAAATTAGCACAATCCTACTAACTTCAGTGGAGCTATGTCAAAACACAACAGCTGAGACTCTGACTCATCGTGTCACCTGCCATCGTGACTCACCTGCCATATGGACTGCACAGGTAGTGTGTGGTCATCTCCTTGCCCCCACAATTGTGGAGGCAGCAATGGTGATGTGCAGCTTGCTCATAGACCCTTTTCTGCTGTACATCAGCAGAAGCAGCAGCAGCACTGGCCTTCAGGCCACCAGCTGGGCAGCCTTGTTCACAGGTTCTCATGAGGAGCTACATAATTAACCTAACCCAAGTACAAGTGTCCTATTTCCTTTTCTCTGTGCTTGCTGATGGCACCTCCTTTTGTCTCATCTGCCTTCCCTTGAAAGTCAATCTAGGCACAGACCATTTAGCTATTTAAAAGAGTGGGAAGCCCTGATACTGTCTACCCAGAGTTTTACCTGGATTGCGATACTTCACTTAGAGTTGTTTTGTTAAAGTAGGTATGATACAATATTTCTCCCCCTAAAGAATGAGTAAACACTGGCTCTAATTCCATCCCTTAAAATTGACACAGTGTAATGTATTCACTTCTCCAATGCTTTCAGGTTTGTTTGGTTTTTTTTATCAGAAAGCCTGACAGTGAAACACTCAGTGCTTTGCTGAAACAGAGAAATTATCAGTAAATAATCAGTCTCACCTTTCTGACCCATTGTGGCATAGTATGAGTACTTGGGGAACGATGGTGGGTGTTGATTACAATGACTGTAATGATGATTGAAGCTATTACAAATATCATGGTAAACAACATGTATTTGCCTATTAAGGGCACTGCACTGGAGGTAGAAGGAATCAGCTCCACAATGACCAGAAGAAACACAGTCAAAGACAGCAAAACAGAGATGCTTAGAGTCATCTTCTCACCTGCCATGAAGAAATAAGCAACATTGCAGTTAACATCATAACAACATATAGTGAAGAGAGTGTTATTCAAATAGAGAAATGTGATCTCATGGCTGTTGTACATTTATACTATTTCATAGCACCTCACAACCCAAGAAAGAGAATCAAGCTATTCTGTCATTACTGTCCTTGTACCACTATGGAAGAACCAAGGTTGGATAAAACCTTCAGGCATGTATGTATAGGCTCCGAGGGAGGGGGACGGGGGGTGACGCTTTAATTAGAACAGCTCCAAGACAAGAGCTGCTCTAATTAAAACACCTGGAGCCTCATGTATATCAGCATCCCTTTGCTGAAAAATGGCGGCTTTAACGAGGTTTAGTTAAAGCACCCCTTTTTTCAGCACAGGAATGCTGATACATGTTGTGATGTTGGAGTCTGCTGGAGCACGGTAATTACCACACTCCAGCAGAGTCGGTAAATTAAGTCTGCTCCAACATGCTGTATTCACAGCGTGTCGGAGCAGCCTCACTGCACTTCTATAAGCACCCTTCAGCTTCAAGCTTGACTCTGCCACAGCATGACTGGGTCTGTTGACAGATTGAAAGCACTGACCATTTCTTTGTAACATGTATTCCAAAGATCTGTAGGAGTTAAGTAACTGAACATAGCAAATTGTCACTGGATTGATCTCAGTTCCTTTAGATGCTTTAGTTTTGCTCCAGGTGGCAACATGGCAATCCTACATTGGGACGGACAAAACAGCATTTGTTCTTGGACCGAACTTAGTCTCTGAGATTTTAAGGAGTAAGGATGACAAAAACCAATCCATACAATACAATACTATTTGTCTATTCAGTCTAGTTGCAAGTCATCTTCATCTTCTAGTTGAAGTCCTTCATTAAAGGGAATTAAATTACTAACAGATAGGGAAAACTCCAGACATGGATTAAAATTAACTTAGCATAGGCACGCATTGCAATAAAAAGGTGTTTTTTTCCTCAGGGTTAACCATGGGACACACTACAGGCCAGGAGGAAACCAGGGTTACTAATTTATTTGTGGCATCAGGGAAGCCAATAGAAAATAACTGATAATCTTCCTCCCACAATGCTAACACACTACTTCAAAGGTTACAATGGCACCATTAACTTGTTTATTGTGCATTCTGCTAATATATTAAATATATTACAAGGCAAAAATCAATTGTTTGAATCCTGCTGCCACTGAAGTTAAATAGACATTTGGCCATTGATGTCTAAAGGATCAGGATCAGCCTAATTTACTAAAAAAATCAGCAGTTTCAGAACTTTTAAAGATAGGCTTATAGTTATCATTCTAGTCTATGGGCCTGATCTTGGCAGGCACTAGCACTGGTCACCTCTCCACTGATCTCAGTGGGAGTTATAGCTGCTGAGGATCTCTCAGAACCAGGCTAGTTGTGAGGAATGGCATTTGTCATGAGTTCCTTTGAGAGTAAGGGTGCTGACAGGCATGCAATTCCCCACTGTAACTCATGGTACTTCACAGAAAGTGCCATGAGTTACAGTGACTCCCTCAACTCAATAAGCATTCACTATTTGATATTGGTGGGTGGGAAATCAAGCTCCACTTTGAAGCTGATCCAGCGGAAAGAGGCTACCTGTTTACAGCCTCTCTCCCCTAGCCATGCCCCCAACTCCAGTATTGTCTGCAGGATGGGAGGGGGAGAAGGCAGGGGAGGGAGCTCTGGTCTGGGGTTTGCCCGGTCTGTGCTGGGGGTGGAGGGGGCAGGTGGATGGGAGATGGAAGGGGAATGGGTATTTTGTAGCCCCCCTCCTGGGGGGATGGCTCCAGTCTTCCCACCTACATATTCCAGCTCAGGCTGGGCAAACCCCAGACTGGAGCTCCTTCTCCTACCTTTCCCCCCTCCCATCCTGCAGACAGCATCGCAGGGACAAATGTAAGTTAATGAAGGCACTCCTCCTGGGAGCATCTTCATCTGAACCCCCATTAAATGTGGGTTAATTTGTCATGTGTTTGGGCACTTTTAAAGCACTCTGCAGCCATGCTTTTCTGTGAAGGCATGGCTGTAGAGTGCTTTCAAGGCTCTAATCATGCAACAAATATCACTTCTGTCAGTGCCTAAAGAGGTACTTACTACAGTAAAATGAATATATGCACATACCTGAATCTGTGGGTAGATAAAACACTAACCCAGTTAAAAATGAGAAGAGCAGACAGGGAATGATGACGTTCACAATGAAGTAGAGAGGTAAACGCTGCATGATGAAGTGATAGGTAATATCTAGATAGGGCGTGTCAGGACAACAGTCATAGTAAACCCAGTGCTTCCAGCCTCTGTAGTATTTCATCACCCACTCACCGCTCTCCATGAAATTACTCAGATCTGGGTGATCACTCTCCTGGCAGGATAAATGAGAGTTCTTAAAATTGGATTCATTGAATTGTTATCCAACCTCATCACAGACTCATTGGATTAATAAACAAATCTTGTGTCTGGTATTGTAAGCAAACCAACCTTTCCTTTTTATGTTATTTTATTTTAATATATTGCCTTTTAAATGTGGTTCAACAAAATACTTTAGAGAGTCAGCTATAAACAAGTTGAAGAAAAAAAGGAAACGTGCAATGTAATAGCTTAAGCAAGAGGAACCAGCTTAGAAAGGAACAGGGAGAGAGTTTCAGACACCATTACCTAGCATATCACATGCTGGCTATGGTTCCTGCTGTGGCAGAGAGGAGGAAGAGATCTCTGTTTAAGCAGTGAGGGGTGAGAGGGGGTGGAGAGGAGGGCATGGGGAAGCCAGGCAGACCCTGCTGTGCCTTCAAATCTGTGTCAAGCTCCAGCTAGGGAACAGAGGGGAGGGGCCAGCCCTGCTGTGGAGCAGAGAGCTCCGCCCATACAGAGAGCATGCTGGGATGCTGGGGAACTTTGATTTAACTTAAACCAGCAAGGGGTCTGGGACAGACATTGCATAAACCTGTTTGAGCCAAATAAGTTTGTGTGTAACGTCTATCAAATCAGTTTATGTTAAACCAGTTTATGTGTAACATCTGTCTCTAGCCCTGGGGTTCTACAGACCATGTCTAGATGGTCCATGAAAAATAACTCTGATCAATCAAACGTATCTGAATATACCATACCTACAATTCAAAGAGGTTCTCAGCTCCATTTGAACTTTTTTATGGGTCCACAAATGAAAAAAGGTTGAAAACCACTGAGCTAGAGGATAGGTTGGTGGTGTCTGTGGAACAGAGCCGGGCAAGTGTGTGCAGAATTGTAGAAACAAAAAGGGCAATTTTGAATGAGAGCTGGAGGTGGCATTTGGAGACTTCAGTATTAATTGCTATGGTGAATAAGGGAGGGTAACTAATGATGTTATATAGCTTTAAAGTAGGGTTGGGGGACTCTAACCATTTACAAGTGCTTGTTCTCTAGTTCAATAATGCTATATTGTAATGCTTCTACAGCTAAGAGGGTTACCTTGAAGTTAAGAGATAAGGCCTGTACTTATGAATCTTAATATTTTTGTCTAGGTGCTATATTGACACCAATGGAGCTATACTGATCTGAGAATTTTAGTTCTGCTGTTAACTGCTGTAGAGCTCATTACAGTTTTATATTTCCTACTACATTCTACATTTTGAGATGAATAGTAAATAATTCCAGTGACTGTTTATTTGTCAATCAAAAGAAGATTACAGTTAAAATTTAAAACAGAGACTTCCCTAAAGAAGGATGAGCAGAAAACATTCAAATCAAAATATTCAGTCTCTACTGATACTCCCCTTTATAAAGTCGTTTCTTACCGGATTGATAATAACCACTGTACCATCATATGTCCAAGTGCCCAACTTCATAGTGCAGTTCTGCTCATCAAATGGAAAGTGTGTAACTATAATTTCACAGTAACTTTTAAAAATAGCTGGTGGTGTCCATATGATCAGGCCTGTGTGTTCTAAAAGAACTCTGGTGTCTTTAACAATAGCAAAATCACCATCTGCACTGCAAAAGGAAAGGACGTTAACAACGATATGGACAGGATTGGCATATGCTTAGCATAACATTAAACTAAAGACAACATAGAAAGAGTAAAATGCTGGGCAATAGTTATTTTTTGTGTAATTTGGGAGAATTTGACCCATTGGATTACAAAATGTAGGAATCAAATTCAGGACTGAGGTAATACAGTGCAACTCCACTGTCATCAGGCTACAAGGATTTGTTCTTGCTCTTCAAAGAATAGAAATGTTTTCTGCTTCTTTATTTCCCTAGTCCCAGCACGCTGGAATCAGGCCAGCTGGTAGCATGCTCATAGGAAAACTTCTTCTGAGACATGATCAGTGATGGAAGCAGAGCAAGGTCCACCACTGCTATAGAGGTAGACTGCTGGATATCTAGTGTGCAGATATTCAGCTCTATAAATACACAAGAGACCAACTTAATAAATAGTTTCAAACAGCTATAGCAGAAAAACAACCTGACCACTGGTGTCTTTCCTTTAAGCTCAAATTCTGTAATTCATTTGGGACTGCATGCAATCTAGACTGCTCACTTGTTATAAAGAACAAGATCTGGGCGCCAGATATCACTGGATGGGATACGAATTTTTTTCACACCACCGTAGTCTTCTGGATTCCACCTTAAGTTGACATCTATCCATTGCTAAAGAAGAATAATTGTAGCCAGTGAAAATCAGAATTGCTGGAAGTAAATATTTTAAAAAGCTACTAAATGTCTTTGACACATGTAAATAGGCACAAAAGCACTGACTTGTGTACCTCTACCATTTCCTTATTTTTGTTTAAAAATACATAACACTTTCCTTAAAAACCTAAAAGGAGATTAATTCTAATTCTAACACGAATTCATTGCTTGAATCACTAATCAAAAGAAGACATTTTTCATGCGTTTTTTTTCCCCCACAGACCTCAATGTTATTCAGTGGCTCTTTAGGGCAAATAGAAATTCAAGGTTCCATAGTCTTACAAAGAAACTAGTGGTATAACTAGGGTGCAGAGACAGGCTACTTCCCCAGGTGCCAACGGGGGTGGATGGGTAGGGGGAAGGGGGGAGAACAGCTTTTGCCACAGCTGCACAATTGCAATCATGGTGACAGCGGAAACTGGAAATCACCACTGCCCAAGTGTGCAGCTGCTGCCCTAGGCACTCAGCCATGTTCTTATGCTGCTGAAAGAAACCCTCAGTCATCTATGACATCCATCTAAACTTGCTTAAGAAATTATCACAGAAAATCATGTGTGCGCGTATGAGCGTGTGTGTGCAAGAGATCAATTTATGGAGACTAGCATATTCCTAATTGATCCATTGTATACGTTCAGATTGGAATACAAAGATTAATGGGATTAAGAGTTACCTGTTTCAGGCGTACATTGGTTGTTACAATTTGATTCACTTCATCCTTAAAAACCGCAAACATACAGATTAAGGAAGAAAGAGGGTTATTCAGAACAAAAGACAAATCACTTAAAACAGTGGCGCTCAACCTTTTGACCCCACAGGCTAGGTAAGTGATATGGGGCCTGTCTATAAAAATGGATCAGGCCCTGGGGCCTGGAACTCCCACTTTAGCCCCCCCACACGCTGGGGTTGGGTCCTGGGAGCCCAGCACCACCCCCTGGCCAGCTCTGCAGGCTAGAATCAAGAACCAGATCCAACATGCAGGGCCCATGGCTGCTTGTGGGTCTGGAGATTTGGCATCGCTCCCCTACCTCCAAATTTCTGGACCTCTAGAGAGCCCCATGGGCCAGATGACAATACTACAGGCTGGATCTGGCCTGCAGGCTGGAGGTTGAGCACCCTGACTTAAAGAGTTGAGCACAATAATTTATACTGTACCACATTAATAAGCTGAATAAGCTGCAGTCCAACTGTGACTACAACTGTATCATGATGATCTTCAACTGGGCGCACCACTTTATTATAACTCTGGAATAAATCTTCAACTAGACGAGTTTCATGTTCAGAGCTCAGTACCAGACCAGCTGCAGAACAGAAGACAGGGCATCAGTTCAAGGTAGTAACAGGCTACATATACAGATAAACTGATGTAAAATCAGCTTTAGCTCAGTGAGGGAATCCAAACATAATTAGGTTTATTCATTATTTTATGGATCCTTTTAATATGCATTCTTATATAATAAAGGGCTTAGTCCGTCTGTCTGTCTGTCTGTGTGTATTGCTCTTGGAACACTCTGATTGGTTAGTGAAACAAGCAATCAGAGTGCGGAGTGCCATGATGACAGCAGGGACAGAGGGGATGGAGCACCACTGGCCTCAACCCCCCCCCGCTCCATCCCTGCTGCCATGGCAGCGCTCCGCTGCCTCCGAGGAGCAGGGCCAGGGCTAGGGGGTGGGCAAGGCCAGCGGTGCTGGAGGCGGTGGCAGCACAGGGTGCTGGTGGAGGGGGATGGAAGGGACAGCAGAGCAGGCTTCCCTCCTGCCCCTGCTCCTGGGAGGTGACGGCGGCATGGGGTGGTGGCACTCTGTTTCCCCTACTCCCATCCCCATCATTCTTGATGGGCAATTCAATAGTCACTTCATAATTAGCAGGAATAATCATCCAGTCGAATTCTGAGCTGCGTTTCCTGGCATGGTAAATATATTTTGAATAATGCACAGCTCTAACTAGGAGATAAAAAAAATGTAAGAATTCCCCTAAGTTGGAATCAGGCTTTGTTAAACTCCTACGTTCTGTCTCGCCCAGCTAGAAATACATTAAATAATTTTGGACAACTGGGTTAACTGAAGACTTACTAAAATCAAGGCATTTCACTTGTTTTCTTTTTAGGTCTACAACTTTGTCTAGGCTCATAAAATTGGAGGTTTAAAGTATAAAGGCAAGAATAACATAAATTTGTTTGATCTGAAAATGCCATCTGGTGGCTTGTTTTACACCTGCAAATGTATACTTATGTTTTGCATGCTGGGAGTTTTTGGGAGCGATTCTCTGCACAGTTGAGCATGAGGAAGATGTTAGTACTATGTTTTTGTGGTGTACTCCTGTCTACTGATCTAGCTTTATGTATATATCTTCAGTATATAAATCTTGAATACTACAACATGCTACTGAGCCATTTCAAATTCATATGAAAGAGGAGAAAAAGCTTTCACTTTATGTTAAAGGACTTGCATGACTTCAGAGAAGACAGACCTATTACAATATCTTTATTTGATTTTCATCCCATTTTCTCTTCCTAGGTACTAGTGAGCTGACCTACCATATTTATTCAAATATAAGATGATGCTGAATAAAAGATGACCTCCCCAATTATTAGAGTCTATGTTTAGAAATTTTATAAATTTGTTATAATTTTCAAGTTCTAAAATCTATTTATTGCAGGTTTGCCTTGAATTTGTCCCTCCTCCAACTGCTACAACAAGGAAAATAAGTCTGGGGGGGTCAGGTACCTACCCTCTGCTGCCTCCCAGTGTCTTACCCCTGCAGCCCTTTCCCCCCACATCCCTTACTGTCAGGCCCTTCTCTCCCTGAGCACATGGAAATGAGGGGCAAATCTGAAAACATTAACTTCGAAATAAACATACCTTTAATAATTTGCATATAGGCAAAATACTATGGGTACTTATGACTATTTCATCCACTATTGATGCATTTTACCTTTTTTGAAACTGCTGCAAGTTTTAACACAGGTACTTCATAAACACACTTTTACGCACCGACATGGTGGCAGACAGCAAAAGTACAGC